TCTGGGTCGGGGCAATCCCAGTTATGAGCACAGACTGGGAGATGAGATCATTGAGAGCAGCCCTGCGGAGAAGGACTTGGAGATTCCATGGCTGAAAAGATGGACATGTACCAGCAATGAGCTCTTGCAGGCCAGAAAGCCAATTCTCTGCTGGGCTGCATCCAAAGCAGCGTGGGCAGCAGGGCAAGGAGGGAATTCTGCCCCTCTGCTCTGCTTTTGAGGGACCCCATCTGCAGTGCTGCATCAGCTCTGGGGTCCCCAACATTGGAAGGATGTGGACCTGTTGAGGAGGGGCAAAGATGATCAGAGGGCAGAAGCATGTCTCATGAAGACAGGCTGAGAGAACTGGGCTTGTTCAGCCTGGAGAAGAGAAGGCTACAGGAAGATCTCAATGCAGTCTTCCATTACTTAAGGGGACTTAAAAAAAGTGGGAGAGGGACTTTTTATACATGCAGAGAGTGACAGGACAAGGGGGAACAGTTTTAAATGAAAAGATTTAGATGAGATGTTTGGAAGACATTCTTTACTGTGAAGATGGTGAGGCACTGGCACAGGTTGCCCAGAGAAGGGGTGGGTACCACATCCCTGAAAGCGCTCAAGGCCAGGCTGGATGTGGCTTGAAGCAGCCTTGGGTCTGGTGGATGGCATCGCTGCATATGCTGGCTGAGTTGGAACTAGATGATCTGTATGTCTCTTCCAAACCTAACTCTTCTATGATTCTATTCAGTTACTCTTGTGAACACAGATTTGTTTAAGGAAAAGCCCCATGTGGCTGCCTCTGGTTAAGTTTTGCTTAGCAAGCATCTAGGGAAAGACATGGCCCATATGCTTATATGTATTTTTAAGCTAATAAAGCTTTTTATCACTTAAGTAATTTGCTTTTGTCTTTTGATATGTAGTCTGGTATTTTTAATCAGTACAAGTCTGGTAAAGGTCTTCTGGAAGACACTGAGGAAAGTTCATTTTTAAGATGTTTGTAAGAATCTTGCTGGTTTCATGATACTTTTAGTTTGTCAGTATTTAAGTAGTTTAGAAACAATGAGATATTGATTTCTTTAGTAACAACAACTGGCTTGTTATGATTCAGTAGTTAAATTTTGGTCTCAAGGAAAAAGCTATTTAGCTTCCTAGCATGTGTCGTTCAATCTAACTCCTTAAAGTTTCTTCTCCACCCATTTCTCACCTGTTCCGGTATCTCTGAGCTGGCTTAAAGCAGGGTACCCTCTTAGCTCCAGAGATGAGAAATTATTTTGGGTGGGCTGGGGAAGAGAGGAATTGCCAAAATTGATTGTCTGGCGGTGCTTCATTGACGAGCAGCAGAGAAACATGGGTGATTGGTTCAGGTGCAATTATGAGTCCCTGACACTTGAGCTCTGATGTCCTTAAAGTGGATCCCAGATATGTGCTTGGATGATTTTTTTCAGTCTTGTAGCTTAGTTTTTTGGACTAAATTCCTGTGTCTTTTCTTTGGCTTGGAAGAATTCAAGCACAGAAGTAATACCATATGCTTTCTCTAATGGTGTGGGCAAAGGCAGATATTCTGGAGGAGCAGGTATGTTGCTGTTGGAGAGTGGCCCTGTGGATGGTTTCAGCAGTCTGGCTGCCCTGGGACTAGCTGGTCTCATAGATGGGGGCAAGAAGACCTTCCTCAGGTGTGCTGCTTTTAGTGAGAGCTTCCTGACATGTTTTCACTTGGGGCAAAGTCAGCGTCCAGGACTGAAACACACAGCAATTCTTATCTTTAATTTCACAAGAGAGCATAGAATACTTTGGCTCTGCCATGCCATCGTATCCATGATTCCCCTTAGCCTGCAGCCTTTGGATCTCGGTGATCAGGTGGCTGGAGCTGCTGAGTTGTTTGGTAGCTGGGGTAGTGCCCCCACACACGCTCATCATCACTGCCGTGTCTGGCCATTTGTTGCAATGGTAAAACAGTGGTTATCCTTTCTGAGAGTAAGCACATTTATTAGAGTCTTGATCCTGGAAAAGTTTATCTACATGCTGGCAACAAAACTGGCTATTAAAGAGTCCTAAAATTCCTGTAGCTGTAAGTGGTGTCAAACTCATCAGTGATAGAGGTCATGTAAGATAAGCAACAGGGGAGGGAAAGAAAGGGAGTGACCTTCCTGCTTTGGCACACAGCATTTTTTTGTCCTGATTTTTTTTGGGGTCATTGTTGGCCCTTCTTAGCCTGAAACATTACTTGGGTTTTTTTGTGTTCTCCCACCAGTTTGGACTTCTAAGTTCAGAAAAGCTGCTTTTGATTTACTGTTTTGAGTATCAACAACAGAATTGGGACTGAGATCTGTGGAAAGTAGCTGTTGTGGCCATAAATTATGCCTCTGGATCCTGCTTTGTTATCCCTCATAATAATTTTGGAGACAGTATGTTTTAATTAATTTTGTTAAATTAATTTATTTCTGTCCAGTTGTTCACATTCCATTTGGACCATTATGGAAAAATTGGGAACTAGTGTAGGAATTTTTAGGAGGACTCCTTCAACAATCTTAAATGTGAGTGGGTTTTTCCTTGGTGCAGTAGAAAAGAAGCCAAATTGCTGCCCTTAGCCAGTGACTTAAGATACCAAAACACTATCTACAGCATGCTGAATTGCTATATTTCATTGCAGCAGTGAAGAGTAGCAATTTACCACTAGCTGAGAGCTCTCAGGATTTTGAAGCACCAGTGTAACTTGTAAAGACAACTGCTGGTAAGCAGAGGAATGAACAGGCTTCTGTACAGGGAGGTCTCAATGGCATGGAGAATTGTCTGTGCCAGTACATGGAGCAGAAACTTACTGATGGAATTTTGCATAAGAGAATCCAGTTGAATGGTGAATTCACACTCATTCAAGCTTTGAGCAGAAAATTAGCCTGTGTTCCAGAGCTATGCTTATAAGATCCCACAGCTGCCTACTTGTGGGAAGGTACTCATGGAGATGAAGTAACTATTATGAATATATTTCTGAGTTTACAGTTGGAAAAAAGTGTCTACAGTGCAACTTACAGGGGCTGTGGGGGTTAATGCAAGACTCTAGAGTTAGTTGCTGGCATGCCTTATCTCAAGCTTTCATTTACATATTTTTATCTGTTTTCCTCACCCTTTAGTGTGGAGAGTGGGAACACACATCTCAAAGGTTCCACATGCTTCAGTAAAAATAGGGCAATCATTCATGAAATGTTTTGGTTTTGCATTAGCGGGAGGGATGTTAAATATCACTGTTAGGGTTTAGTGGTTCAGAATTTAATAAAGGTAGCACTTTTGCAATTAGTTCTCTTTATATAGTTGAGAAGAAATAAATAGACGTTGCAAGGACTTCATCTTTAGGACTAAAGTTCTTGCCATGTAGGAAAAGCTGTATTTGAAGGATTCTCCTGAGTACTACTGCTTTGCAGTGCCTGGTTGTAGCCTTCTCAAGCCCCAGAAAAACACTTGAATCACTGCAGTTCCAGAGATCATCACTGCTCCTGGGAGCACTTTGAAGGCTTTTGGAGAGAATTTTTGACAGGTTTAAGAATGCCTGCTGCTGGTTTATATGGAGCTACAATTATACTTACGCTTTGGGAGAATACTGTGGGTCAAAAGATACTCAGTTCTGCAGGAGTTCCCTTCAGACATAATACTTACAAATAAATTTAACTGGAAATAATGATAAAATTTTTATGTAATTCCACCCTTCCTAAAGTACTTGAGGACTAAGGGGGCTGCACATTAATAGAATAATAGAATAACGGAACATCCTGATTTAGAAGGGATCACTGAGTCCAGCTCCTGGCCCTGCACAGTTCACCCCAAGAATCACACTGTGTATCTGAGAGCATTGTCCAGACACCTCCTAAACTCTTCAGGCTGGTGCTGTGACCACTTCCCTGGGGAGCCTGTTCCAGTGCCCAGCCATCCTCTGGATGAAAAACCTTTTTCTGATAAAATTGTATAAGTATGCTGGCTTTCCTGCATAGCTGAAGTAAGAAGGAATGCATGGTGTGCATGGAAAGTTTTCTGTCTTCAGTTAGAAGAGATGGGAAGTTGGAGAGTCAGAATGGTGCTGAGATGGCTGAGAATTAGACAAATGCTGCCATTGGTACTGTTGCATGGTTTGCTTTGACGGAGTAGGATGAACTTGCCCAGAATGTTTTTTCCTGTTTTAGCAATTAATATAATGCATTTATTTTTATGTAATTGCTCATTATACTAATTTATTTGTGTTTTCTCTCTCTTACCCTTCTATGCCGATGAAGGTTTTTCCCTTCAATGCTCAGGGTTAAATATACAGACCTTGCTTTTGTAAAAGAGTGTAGGTTTGGTTTACAATTTTATATGGATATGTAATACTTTCTAGATTTGTGGCTGCATGGCAGAGAAAGAGGAAAGACGCTATCACAGAGACAGATTGCACAGAAGATTTAGTCTGGTGCTAGCTCCCTGCTCTTGAGGCAAATGCAATTTTATTGTTCATGATGTACCTACCTTTTCTTAAATTTTTTTTTAATCTATCTTTATATTCATGTATAAATACTTTTTCTACATAAAAAGCACTACAGAGTCACACTGTTTTTTAGATAATCCAAACACTTTTAAGGTAAAATGGGAGCAAAAATTGGGTTGTCAGATAGAGCTTTCTGTCTGCTTGTGTCTCTGTGCCAGGCAAATAAGATGCTGTCATAATGGTACATCTAAAATCACAGAATATTCTGTGTTGGAAGGGGTACACAAGTACCTTCAAGCCCAGCTCTTAAGTGGATGGCCCTGGATAGACAGGGATCAAACCTGCAACCCTGGCATTATTAGTAGTACCATGTTCTGACCACCTGAGCTAATCTCTGCAACCTTTCTTTGGGAAAGATGTGTTGCCACAATTGCTTACCGGTTAGTTTAATCAGATGACTCTAAATTAAGAGTCTTAACTAACCTGAACCATCTCTCTTTTCTTTTCCAAAACAAATCAGCATTTAAAATTTAGTAAAACACCTCCACTTTGTCTAATTTTTTGTTGTTTCATGTTTTGATGGAACGCCTGTAATATTTCACTGCCTCTTGGGCAGTGCTGCATTTGTTTGGAGGAATAAAGTTCCTTGTTCTTGGCTTAGCAAGTGTGCTTTGATGTGTCATTTGCTGTTAGGTTTTAGAGCTGACTAATTTTGAATTCGGGAAAGCAGAAATGTAATTATGACCCTTTCCATTATGAGACAAGGTTTTCAGTCATTCTTGTTTGAAAAAAAAATAAAGTTTTCATTTAGAAAGCTTTGATTTTAATTTGTAGCAATGAAATTTTAGGAAAGGTTTTGCTTTTTCATCCTTTTCTTCTGTGTCTAGGAAAATGTCTTCGTCCCACCAGCTAAAATACTTGTATTATTTTAGTTTCAAAATAAATATGCTTATGATCTAACCACTTTTTCTAATTACCTTCTGCTCTTTCACCAGCACTCAAGTTGCACTCATTCTCCAATAGTATTTAGTGTGCCAAAAATGTATTTGGCTGGGTTGGGCTGATAGGACAAGAGTCCGTGCCTTAATTATGGTATAGTTATCCACTTGTGTGCCACATCATCTTATATTTATTCCCCTTGCTAATTATAAAACAGGGTTTGCAAATTTGTTGGATTGGCACTTCGAATTTTAATTTAGACATGTATTTAAAAGGGGAAGAATTTGCTCCTTCAATGAACTTTCCTTTTTATGTTTTGACTATATATTGATTCCTCTTGAATCAGGTGAAAAATTGAAACCATTTTAGAGTGGTTTAAACAGCTTTTCAGTCCATGCCATGTGTAGCTTCAGACTTCTTGCACTGTATACCAAGACATGCTTTTGTTTGGAAAGGAAGGGAATTCTGCAATTGCTCAAATAAACTTTCTGTTTGTGTTGCATGGCTTTTAAGTTAGACCAAGTAATGTTATCATATAAAGGTGTGCTTGTAATAATATGAATGGATATAAGAGTGATGTGGGAAGCTATTTATACAGAAATTTGTATCTTAAAAGGTATTAAATTGACTTAAAATCATGTTGTCATTTAAAAACAATGAAAGGAGGAGCTGTGTGCTTTATTTTAGGGCCTTTAAGAACTTTTCTAACCTCTTTTCCAGAAGCAAAGACAGCTGGAAAAGTTTTTCATTTGCACCCATTCCCCCTCCATGACTTTGCGCTATCTCATGACTTTATAATAGAAACATCTAGAATACCAACATGCTAAAAATGTGATGAATCAGCAACATTAAAGCCAGATTCTGGAGGCTGCAATAAAGCAATAACTTGTCAAGTTTCCTTCAGACTCTTCCGTTAGTGGTGTGTTTAATATTGCCTGAGAGAGTCTTTTGCAAGAAAAACACAGTAATTACTGAAGTCCTTCACCGTACAGTGCAGATGTCAGCATTTTTGGTCATTGGGTTCAACTATGAAGAGAGAAGGACCCTTTGGAGCAGCCAGGCCTTTTTATGGGCTGGTGCTTTGGAGCTGGTGTAACAGGCTTCCTCTTGTGGGGTCAAGCAGTGGTAAGTTTCTTACAACACCACCATCCTCAAAGGCTGGTTACTGGTTTTCAGCAGGGTTTGGTACATGATGCAGCTCTGAAAGGTAAGATGACTGCTGTTTGTGTTTCAGTATTGGTAGGATGAATGGAGTCAATATAAGACATCCATTCCTTTTTGTTCGACCTTTGAATATGGCCTTTGGCAGTTTGGACTTAATTTTCTAGCTATGCATTTTTCTCTGCAGGGGTATTTGTATGTTATTTTTGGTTGTTTTTCACCTTCAGCTATTCAATTCCAGTTGCTGTTTTTGTGGTTTCCCCCTGACACACACACCTTAGTTCCCTTTTTTTCCCTACCTGCATCATCTCTAAATGTAACTGGTCTTAAGCATCTGTCTGAGGAATGCGGGGACCAGTGCTTTCAGTCATTGTTGCACTGTACTGAAAGCGCATTTGCATTTTGAAAACGAAAAAAAATTGCAGTCCTCCTCTGAAGCAGGATTTTCATTTGTAAACCGTATGCTATTTTTGGTGTGTCAGATATGAAGGCTTCCTGTGTGAAACTGATCAAGAAAAAGATCACAGGAGACCTAGAGCAGTGACTCAGGTCACAGCAGGCCTCATTGCATGACACCTATGTCATCAAAATAGTCTTGTTTGGCATTCCTAAATGAGATTTTCTTTTCCCTTAGATGGTAGATCTGTTCAAAGGCTTATTTGATCATGAATAATTTGGAGGAAAACAGCTTTTTAACCTTTTGAGAATATCATAAGTCTTCTCTTCCTTGTTACTTCTGAACTCCTCACATAATCATCTGATGTTGGGCAAGTTGTCAATTTTCATCACTGCTCAGAAATTGTTTCTCCCTGTTTCCTTCCACTCCAGGCATGTTAAGTCAGATAAATTCATACACTGATGTTTAATCACTGATCACTTATCACTCTTGTGCAATATTGATGAGCAGCCTTTTTGTATGCAATGATCAGTATGAATAATAGCTTCCTAGTAAACACTGAGGAGTTGGAGGTTGAAGATGGTGACTTAGCCCCATGTAGAAGTTACACAGCTTTTTTTCTAGAAGTTTCTAGACTCCGTCCAGTTTATTTTCTCCTCCCCTACTCCAAACTCTGTTTCTTTCCTTGTTCCGTTCAAGCCAAGCATCAGTCCTTCTTTCTGTAGATGGTGTGTCTTTCAGCAAGTGCCCCAGTCCTCTTCTTAGCTGCTGAGGTTGTCCAGTGTCTCATTTTTCTGAGGAGCCTGTCATTTCTTCTTTCAGTACACTGCAAACACACACAGGCTTCCTGTTTCATGGGGGCGTCCTGTGAACATCATACCTGAAAATGAAAAATGACGCCTTGTGAGGCAATTCAGTGAAATAGAAGCCAGGGAAAACCCAAATAGGCTGGGCTGTGGTGTGTAGGTTGAAAACTGTTTCTTACCCCCTCCTTCCTCCCACTCTTTCCTTTCCGAGTGAAAGACCCGGTCTGTGCCTGAACTTGCTATTCTGAATAACCTCTTATCTGCACTCAGTGACTGATGCTCACATCCTGTTTGCTACCAGCTTCGAACGCCCTGAAGAGGGACATTTCTATTTCTGCTGGGTCTGTTTCAGTGAGTTTGCAGGCTGGCTCTATGCTGCTGCCTCTGTCATAGGCCTTTTGATTCTCTTCTGTGAATTTGAGGCAACTCACTTTTTCTTTACTGTTTCTATGAAATAGCAAAATTATTGTGGGATTTGGAGTGGCATCTGGAAAAATGAGGTAGAGTTTTAAACGGAGGAATAATTTATATTGAGTCAGGATTTGGTTAAGTATTTAGACTTTGATTAATGCTCTGCTAATGTAGAACTAGTCTGCCCAGGAAATAACATGAATGGACCTGTGAATTCTATTCTCGCCAAGATGTACCTTTTGATTAGGGACTTGCTAACTTCCTTGGAAAAATTGTAGATTTAAATACTCCTTTTTTGCACACCAATGAGTTCAGATATTATTTCTCTAATGTAATCACTTTGCTGTGTTTTATAATAAACTATCTGCACAAGTTCAAAGCTGTTTTACTGATGGAGGTGCTCAGGGAAGCTGATTACCCACTCTAAAATACACTTGATTCAGTGGCTCATGCTGTAGAAGTTTTCCATGGCAAGCTTTGTTGTGTCTGCTACTTCTAGTATTTTACCAGTTGCAAACTCTGTGTAGCCATGCTTGCAAAAAGGTGGTCACCTAAAAAACTCAAGACAAAAAAACCCAAGACAAAAAAATCCTATAGTTGTCAAGTCTATTTTTAAGATGGCTGTGTGGAGATAAATATTAAATGGAGTCTTCTTACAGTTTTAATGACACTTACTGTGAATTAAACTTTGAAGACTAAGCAAGTTTATCTTCTTGCTTTTTTTACAAGCTTTTGCCTCTGCAGTAGACTTAAAGTGGGAGAAAATATAGGTATGTCTGAATGGCTCCCACAACAAAAAGCTCCTGCATTGTTCTTTTTAGCTTACTTCACCTGGAGGATGATTTGGATGAAACCTGACAATGTAGCTTTCTTTCTCACCTGTTTCTCTCTCCCTGACTTCGTAGTAGGCTGCTCATCCTCCTGGGGCTGGGTGCTGGTTGTCCAGCTGTAGCACAGTGGGGGCTGGTGCCCTGCACTTTTCAGTGAGGGTGAGGGGATTGTGCTTGCTGCCAGGGTGGAAATGTATGTTTAACCCACGTGCCACAGGGGTCTCTTTGTGCTTGTGATTCCATGTCCCTGGCTATCTCCAGCCATCCATGGGCTGGAGCTGGTGTGGGAAGAAGCTTTGCACACTCTCGCACTGCTTTGGTCAGAGGAGACCAAAGGTACAGCCAGGACTGGGAGGGGGTGTCACTGACTGTGACATGGCAGTCAATGAGGACAGGTAGGTGGCTTAGCAGCCCACTCCCTGTCTCTACTTGCATATATAATTTCCTTGCCATCTTGAGATTAGAGCCTCCGTATGTTGGAAGGCTCCAGTGCAATTGAGGTGTGTTTTTGACTCTCCCTGGACTCTCCATGGCCAGCACTCCAGAAGATGCAGGAAGAGGTTATTGCCATAGATGGTAGTGCTCTGACTCTGCAGATGGTCCCAATAAGAGCTTGCTGCTCTCTGGCCACGTGTAGGTTTCAATGGTGTGCCTCTCAGGTGAGATTTCTTGCTCAATTTGTGTTACAGTAAAAATGAGATGCCAAATCCCACTAGGTGAGGAAAGCCCTTTCCCACAGGCACTGCAGTTCTAGTCCCACCAGGGTGCCCAGTGTCTAAGAGGGAGTGTGTGTACTGTAGCTGCTGGGTTTTGACCTCCCCCCAGGAGCCTGCTTTGCTCCTAGAGTTAAACTGGTCCTTCCCTGGTTTGTCTTTATCACAGAGCCATTGATCTTACTGTTTAATTTAGGAGGTATTTCTCCAGAGGCTTGTGGTGGTACCTGGTGTTTGGGTGGAAGGACGACTTGTGTAGGCTGCTTGCAAAAATGTCAAGTCATGGTGAAGTCCCAGATTTTTTTGAGTCCATGAGGTTTCGGATTATAACGTTTGGGCTGTTGAGGCTCCTGAACCAGGCCCTGCCCTGACTAGTTTATGCTGATTTGGATTGTGTGAACGAGATGAAAACTTCACTGCAGTCATGAGTTGCTTCATTTTGGAGGATGTTTGCAGCACGGGGAGGTGTTTTATTTTGCTTTCTGGGGTTTCGTTCAGCCATGAGAAAGAGGAGGAAAGAGGAAGATAGTAAAAAATAGATATTTCTGAATCCAGCAGGGAAATGGGACACAAGCAGAATAGAATGTGTATGTAAGTAGCCAAAGTAATGTGAGTGTTGATGGATGTTGGTAGCTCTGAGGTCTCTGTTGCAGGAGGATGGTTATTCTTCAGCATGTGCCTGCTGGAGGTGACAGGGATCTGTTGAGGTAGCTGAGTGGGGCTTGGGATGGAGCACAGCTTTGTTTCTGTAAATAACCCAGGAACACTTGGAAACCCCACATCCAGGGAACCTCTCAAAAGATTTATCAAAGTGCCTGTTTCTTCTCCTCAATACATTGTGCAAACCAATATTAAACACTAAGCAAGGAAAAAACGTACATTAAATAAACAGTTATGAGGGAAATGGTGCAAATCCATTAGCTTTTGTCAAGTCTTCCTTTTTTCTATTTTTGTCACGGATAATGGATTTAGTACAACCTACTCCCTCTCACACATTTCTGCTAGCTGTTAACCCCTTCCCCTGGAAATTCACTCACTGGCTTATTTCGTCATTAATACAGCAGTAGGCAAAAAGTGACCTGTAAACCTTTAGCACAGATATAAGTGTTGAATAATTTTTTTAATATCTGTTCTGTGAAAGGTTGTTTTTAAATTGTCCCTAGGTTTTCATATATGATGTAACTATACATTTGTAAGAAAAGGCAATTTATGTATTTTCCAATTGTAGACAATATGAAGGGCATGGATAACCAGTGGTTATTTAAGTGAGTGCACCTCTGATATGAAATTAGCGCACCCCACTGAATGGAGTATTGGTCTGGAATCTTGGGAGTTTTTTTCCCTTTTTGCCATGGTTTTTATAGGTGACCTTGAGGATTTCTTTTTTTATTCTTTTGTTTCTGCGTCTTCTCAATTTTCTTTTCAATAGTGTAGGGATAATTGCACTTTCCATGTATACACAGAAATTCTATAGGCTGAAACACCATTATTAATGCTACTTGCTGCCTAGTTTCTCTCATGACTGGCCTGTGATTGCCAGTCATGATGACAGGCTTGTCTTCTGGACTCTCCTGCTTTCCCAGCCCAGTCTCCCTGCATCTGTTTGATCTTGCACTTCGTTCCTCCCTTGCAGTGTCTCAGCCCATCTTCTTCAGCATCGGGGCTTTGCCTAGCCTGGGGAGACTTTGGGCAGTGTCTGGGGTTGCTAGGTACTGGCATGGAACAACATCAACTTTATATAGGAGGCTGGCATTGTTTAAGGGCTGTTAATGACCCTGCTTTCTTCAGCTCCTTGCAGCGTTACTGGGTGGCAGTAATAGCTTTATAGGGTGGTTTGCATATAAACTCAACAAGGAGATACCTAACAAGCTAAATATGACTCTTAGAGCTGGGTGACATAGTGCAACACCCGCTGAGGCTGTTGGAGGAATCCTTTTATGATGAGAGCAGTGGGAAGCTAATGTGGTGTAGGAGGTCCACGGATGGCTGTTAGCAGTCATTTTGTGTGAGCTTACCTGTACTAATGGACACGTGCTGGTGTGCTGGAGGAGCAGTGGACCAGCTGTGCCCATGGGCAGTGAGTCACCTTGACTGAAACAATGGTAGAGAATCACTCCAGACCTGGTGTTGAAGTGCCCCTTGCAGGATCAGGAGCCTGGGCTCTGGAGACATGCTTTGGGTTGGCAGCCTTGGCTGCAGCACAGACTTGCTCGGTGTCTAGGTCATGCACTAGAAGACATTCCTAACTTCTCTGTACACATGAGGGGGAGTGCTGAGGAAAAAAATTGCTTAAAAGCCCACGAATGCCTTCATTTGTGTAAAACCCAAAAGCAGTCAGACCCGTGCCCGCTGTTCCTTTGTTCTACCTGTGGCAGGTCGACAAGGCCATAGGCTGTGTGCCTGTGATGCTACTAATGGGGCTCTCTGCAGGTTTGGGGAGGAGTGGGCAGCCTCAGAAGGCACTGCTGCAGGGGGCAGGGCTTTTCACTCTGAAAACACATTCAAGCACAGAGGTACAGAGAAAACTTCTGATGTGTCTTGTGCTGGTGAGATTTGAACTCCTTTAATATTGGAAGACCACTGGACAGTGTGCATTTTGGTAGCACTTTCTTGTGTTGCAGGATATTGTGCTGCATCTTGCCTCTGAAATAGGTTGATTTTTTTTTGACTATGGAATACCACAGCCGTCCTTTTTCTCAGCTGTTACTTCTCTGTGCTGATGTGGCCTCTTTATTCCTATATCATTGTTTATTTGTGTGCTTGGCTTCCTTTTTGTTTTATTTAATTTTGAGACAAAGTAGTCCTTTTCCTCTCTAACCATACTTCCATTCTTAGGGAAGTAATACACCCACTCAGCTTCTCCAGTCAGAGAGACAGTGCCCATTTTGTGACTGGGAAGTACAGCAGAGACATGGAGGTGGTTCAAGTGGCTGCGTCACTTGGAGAAGAATCAGGCCACTTTCATAAAGTCAAATCAGGGAAATAAAAGGTTGACGGCTGGGTTGGTGTCTGGAGTAGCTCACTGCGCAAATGAGCTAAAATACCAAGAGATGAGTGTGAAAAAAAATACTTGGACTTGCACGGTTTGAAGTAATGGATGTTTTTACTTGGAGCAAAATA